TCGAGACTTTGTGGTAATTTGAAGTGGAACCCCAGCACGGATCGTAGATGAAAATGGTATTGGCCGGAGCAAAATCCCATCCAAGGCAGCACGCAGTAAAAGGCGACGCTTCTAAAATCGGAGCTACGAGTATATTTACTGAATCGTGAGCTTTATATATGGGTTAATCCGAGGACCTGTGAGACGTGTATACGAATAGCCTTCAACAGAACTGTTCCAGATGAACGCTTGAGAATTTTTCGGGCTTTTTTTGAGTTGGAATGTAGGTCCCTACGCTAGCTTAGGCAAACTGAAGATTGCTCATTCCCTTCACGGAATAGCTGGCTTCTAATTTTCAATTCAAGAAAAGTTCTGCAGTAGAAACTGCTACTATCTTGCTGCTTCGTGAGAAAACGACAGCCAATTCCCATCAGCTCTGCCGACAACAACGAACGTCACATCGGCATTTGCGCAAATGACTCTCATACTCATAAGTGCAGATGCGGAAAAAACGCTGGGAGTGCTGAGTTAACTTCTCACCAAGGCGAAATCGTTTCCCAGTTACTTTGGCTACGTTTTCTCAGCTCACTTCTCTTTTCCTCCACACCTTCCACTACCCCTTATCTGTATAATTAACAAGGGTTGATCTAGTTCACCGAAAAATTGGATCGACAGTCTCTTTCCTTCTGTTTCTTGTTGAAATGCGGCATTTGTACTTGACCGTGTAAATCTTCTATACCAAAGGATTCTTCGCCCACACCCACAACATCAAGAAAAGGGATAAGCTAGCGGTTGCTATTTGACCAGGAGATCCGATGGACCGGAGCATTATATAAACTGTTACTTTGTTGCAACATCATTCATGGCTTCGCTGCTACCGCCCAGGGCATAGCAGACTAGAAACCTTTGTCCAAGAGAGATTATGGGAGCCACCCAAAAACTTTATGCGGAAGAATCGCTGGGTAGCGGGAGATGCGCAATCTTCGTATAGATACGGCCAAACACGGGTAGAGACTTCAGCGAATCTGAATAGAAGTCTGCATCGTGTAGGCGCTCAGTCTCATTCCCTGACCCGTTGAATTCACTACGAATCAGAAATTGAACGGACCATGATAGGGCCCTCATTGAGGGTGGAGGGCTCTAGCACGAGACACCAACAAGTGTTGATGCTTTGATGGTAATGCCATGCAGCCGCCATGGTGTTACTCATGGCACCTTTGGTGTTCAATAGGCATAAATGCCAGTCCCAAGAAACACACGAAGTCATGAAACTTCGTAAAAAGGATTCCTGACTTCTACTTTCCCACGCCATATCTCAAGCTTTCTATGATACCTCAAAGCATTAGTTCCCCGTGATACGTAAATATCAACTTTGGAACTGAGTTTTTGTTACTTTTTAAACATTTTCCATGTCTCAAGTGCAACTGCGTGATTCCAGTAAATCGGGCCTCTTTAATAAATATGTCTTCTACTGATTATCTTTGTTGTTTCTCTGAACTGGCCGACACTATTGTGGAACTTACAGTTTCGAAGGTTTGCATGGCTTTTGATTCACTGTACGCCCACAAACTTTATATGGGAGTTTTGGAACATTTGTGTTCTTTTAAAGACATTTGGGTCTATACTTGGGAATATTTTAGTCACTCACAATAATCTTATGCACTTCAAATTAGAAACTGCTTTGAAAGATTTGCCCATATGCCTCGTCCCCAACAAATCTTGTAGCAGATTGGGCGAAGCGCCGCTCCTTGCTTCGGTTTTTTAGCGAACGCTCTTGAAGGCGAACAACTCCGTCATCATCTCAGCTGTGGTTTTTACTATGTTTGTTGAAAGAAATAAAAATGCTGCTCTCGAGTGAAGGTGGAGTCGTGCCAAGTGGCGCTCTACCACGTGCATTGCCTGGATATCGAGTTCTAGATCGATACCTGGAAGAATTGCTGAAGAAAATCACAATCACAAATCTGTTTTGTTTTTTCGAAGTACTAGTTTTAGAAGGCACTGGTTGCAGAGATCCTCATGAAGCAGAGAGGCCATTTCCCACGTCTCCCAATTTCTACATAACCCGTTCGGGTATATAGCACCACACCCATAAGCGCGATGTCGACAAAGCGAATGTGCGGTAGTTCTGGCTGACTACCTTTACTCCAATTTCTTTTCATTCCAACTGAATTATGAAGTTCTTTGTAGCAGAGAGGATAAGCGAGGCACTATCAGCCTGTTCGATCGCTCTGTTCACCGTAATGGTTCAGAACGATGGGATTCCAGAGTTGTAGAACTCACGAACGATTTTTGACACTCGACAAATTAACCTTCTAACTTTCCATGAAATCACAGTGAAGCGTTGTTGTCTTGCCTGTGGAATAAATGGATATTACCATGAGAAAGAAAGAGCTTCTCCATTCTTGTGGAATTGAATTAGCTTTTCTTGGCTTTTCAGGAAAGCTAATTTAATTTCAAGAAAATGAAAAAGCTCTTTCCATTTCACGAAAGCTGTGCCCAAAAAGAGTGGTATGCCACTTGGGTGCTACGACTGGGGAGGACCCACTGGACTACGTTGGCCCGTGACAAGGACGAGTGGAGATGTTACGGGCGCCCGCTCGACCAAGTCGATGATCAACGGAACAACAGGTGATACAGGTGGTCGCAACAGAGGTTTTATACTTTCGAGTCATTCGTTTTTGAAGACAGCGAACACAGAAGTAACGATTTCTAAGTACTCATCAGGTGAGGAACGCCTTATCAGATAGACTCGTTTTTAGAGCTATTTTCGAGCAAGATCTTTTCCGTTGTTCACGTTGACTTCGTCGGACAAACAGCAAATAGAAGAAAAGGATTAAAAGCCAATGTGCGAAAGTATCAGCAGTGTTAGCAGCAGTATTTGGTAGAAGAAGAAGATGACAGATCGAACAGATTGAGTAAATAAAACGAAGGGAAAGCTCTAGGTTCGAAATCCATCAAGCTTGTAAGCACAACTTGTTCACTGCTCATCAAGCTGGACCTGTGCTCTGCATCTTGCCAACATGAGGTTTCCAGGTGGTCCTGCAACTGAACAAATAACTCAAACTTCATTCGCTCCGTTCGAAATGGCGGTAGCAATGCATACGTTGGTTCAGGCTGTTGACCAGACAAGTACCCTTCAGGAAGCACCGGACTTCGGAATTCGAGGCAAGCCAGGAACCCCAAAAGAGAAAATCATCAAAAATTTCGAAGTGATGGTCAAGCCTCAAGGTCATGCTCTTGAACAGGAACATAACGCTATGAAAGAAGCGAGCCCCTCACTCATTTTTTTGCGGTCTCGAAAACCCCGAACCCTGTTGGCTTTTGCTGGTGACACTCAGAACCCTAGGTTCTCCTTCCAATGCGATCTAGTCAAGGAGTAACTCTCATTAGCGTTCATAACGTTCAGCGACTTCCTTTTGTTAACGTCAGCGATGCAGCTCTCTTTTGTGTTGTTGTCTTTACAAAGTTCCTTATTTAGCTACTACCTTGAATCCTATTTCTACCTTTCCCACATGTACAATATGAATTTGATTGCTCGACAACTTGCAGACAAGCGAACTGAAGCGCCCTTCTTTGCTCTCATGATTACACTGCCGTTGTCATGTCGTTAGTAGATTTGATTGAAATGAATTTACCCCTATACTGGAAAATTAATTGAACTGCCGTTTTAACCTATTCTTGGGAAATGCCTTGGTCTCATGGGTGGTAGCGGGTTCTCGACAACTCCTGCAAACAGACCTTTTGTTTACACTTTGAGAAAAAAAAACTTCAAAAAATTAGGCACCGAACAATCCGTAAGGCAGATTTCCCAGTCCCAGAAGATTTAGTGGTACAGTAATAAGAGTGTGAATTCTGGATCTAACACCCCGCTACCGCCCAAATATTGAGAGGACTGTATGAACCAGGTCTTTGTTCAGCCCCTTTTTTCGCTCCTTCGTTTACGTTACGATTTTTTTGGTCGTCCGGGGTATCTTCTATTCCAATGTAGGATGATCTGAAAAGGGTGCTTTGCTTCTAATTCGTTTCATGCTAAATTTTGTTTTAACTTGAATATCAACTGCTCAACTCAGGCACAAGTCCTTCTTGAAAAGATGTCGGTCCTACATCGAATTGTACTGTGAATCGAGTTTCAGGTGGCAAGTAAGCTTTGTAATGGAGGCATGTATGAATCAGTGAAGAACGCAGCGCTGGTGGGAAGTCCTAGGCTCTAGTGCTTTCTCGTCCGTGCCTATTAGGGAACAGAACTTATCTGCATAGTTTAGTAAGTAAAATTGAGAAAATTCGACAAGAACTGCTCGAGGGAAGGAGGGATTGGAGATGTTGGCTAGGAACCTTCTGATTTCTTCTTTGAGTATTACCCATCTCTACTATTATAAAAGGCCCACGATGTTTTCTGTCACCACTTGAGAAGTTGCATGTGATTTCGGCGACGGAACCACACCTTCACCCCTCTGTATGTACCACTTTGAACTTACTCTTCCCTCAAAAAACTTTCACCAAAATTTTCTCAACGGGCCACTCAAATTTAGCAGTTCTACTCCTTAATGGGTGCATAGCGAGTGTATCGTGGGGATGAGTAGTGAATTACAATACCGCACTCTGATATCTAGTTGATCCAGCTGACTTACTTGATGGAATGGCAGAAAGGGTCAAACCACTATAGTGAGCACCCCAAAAGAGCTCAAAAAGAAAAACAAAGGCTATAAAGAGCAAGTCAGGTAGAGGGGTCTGCTAGGCAATGGGTAAAGGAACTTCCCTATCGCGGCATTCTCCCTTGCGGCATGCGGCAAATGTCACTGCAATTACCGTACTCACCTCGCCTCCCGAAAATCGATAGGACGCGATATTTTTCCTTGACTGGCTTGCTTTTTCATTGGATTTTATCGTTTTTTCTTCTGTTTCTTTTTAGTTTTCATGTTTATTAGACTTGATTAATTGAAATGACTCCTCTTATATAAACGACGATCAATACCGCATTGAAATTGAAGGGAGCGACCAGCCAATTCAAATGATTAAAGGACTCCCTACTTCACAAATTGCGCGCTCCAATCTTTCATCGCAATCCTGCGATAGGCGGCGGATGCGGCGTGTGCGACGCCGTGTTAGGGGAGAAGTTCCCGGACCCCTAGGCAATTGACATTCTCTCTGGTCGATACAATGACTTGCGCTAGAGGAGTAGGCGGGGGGGGGGGGGGGGGGGGG